ATGTTGAAATGGGGTTTCACTCTTCTTGCTCAAACTGGAGTGCAATGGTGCAATCCCAGCTCACTGCAACCTCCACCTCCCAGGTTCAACTGATTCTTCAGCCTCAGCCTCCAAAGTAGCTGGGATCACAGCTGTGTGCCACCGTGCCTAATTTTCATATTTTTAGTAGAGATGGGGGTTTGTCATGTTGGCCAGGCTGGTCTCAAACTCCTGACCTCAGGTGATCCTTGGCCTCCCAAAATGTTAGGATTACAGGAGTGAGCCACCACACCCGGTCAATTTAATTTTTCGTAGAGACAGGGTCTCACTATGTTGCCCAGGCTGACCTTGGACTCCTGGCCTCAAGTGATCCTCCTGCTAGGATTCCTAAAGTGCTGGGATTACCACCATCAGCTACGATGCTTGGTGTCATGTTTATTTCCTCTTGCTGCTGCCACAAACTACTCTATATTAGTCCCTTGAAACACCACAAATCTACCAACTTACAGTTCTGCGAATCAGAAGCCCAAATTAGGTCTAATAAGGCTAAAGTTAAGGTGTCAGCAGGGCTGCATTCCTTCTCGAGGCTCTAAAGTGTTCCTTTGGCTTTTCCAGCTTCTAGAAGCCACCCCCATTCCTTGGATCATGGCCATTAACTCCATCTTTAAAGCCAGAAGTGAAACATCTGCAAATCTCCCTCTCTAACTCTGCTTCCACCACCACATCTCCTGCTCCAATTCTGACTCTTCTAACCTCTTTCTTTTATAAGGATCTTTGTGACTGCTGGGCATGGTGGATCCCACCCATAATCCCAACACTTTGGGAAGTCAAGGCAGGAGGTATATTTAAGGCCTGGAGTTTGAAACTAGCCTGGACAACATAGTGAGATCCCACCTCTACAAAAGCATAACAATAAATATTAGCCAGACATGGTGGTGAGCGCCTGCAGTCCCAGCTACTTGAGAGGCTGACGTGAAATAATGACTTTAGCCCAGGAGTTTGAGATCAGCCTGGGCAACATAACTGAATCTCATCTCTACAAAAATGAGCTGGGCATGGGTGACATGCATGTGTAGTCCCAGCTACTCTGAAGTCTGAGATGGGAAGATCACTTGAGCTCAGGAGGTCAAAGCTATAGTGAGCTATGATCATATCACTGTGCTCCAGCCTACATGACACAGAGAGATTGTCTCAAAAAAAAAAGAAAATAAATATATACTTGTTCTCTGTCCACGGTTCCTGGCACAGAGCTTTGAATGCTTATAAAGACCTCAGTCATAGAGGTTGATAGGAGCAACTTTAGTTTTAATATTTGGTCTTGGCCCCAGCTTTCTAACACAAGAGACTCTAAGAACTTTGGGATCTCCAGCATGCTAAGATGCATTTGGGGATTCTTATCCCCAGTTGAGATGACTGGGTGGCTGCACGCTCCTTGATTTCTTCAGGAGGAAGGCTGATTGCCAGAGAAAGCAACCACATGATTAGAGGCTTAGAACTTTTAGCCTCACCTGCTGAACTCCAGGAGGTGAGAGTGGCTGAAGATTGACTGAATTACCAATGGCCAAAGATTTTATCAATCATGCTTGCATAGTACAGCCTCTGTAAACACCCTGGACAACAGGGTTTGCAGAGCTTCTGGTTGCTGAACAGAGGAGCTGCTGGGAGGGCGGCGTGTTGAACACAGGGCATGGAAGCTCTGTGTACCTCCCACTTACCTTCCCTTGGGCATCCATCTTTCTTTCATTTCTTTCTCCCTTTCCTTCTTTCTTTTTCCTCTTTCTTTCTTTTTAAAAGACAAGTTCTGGCTCTTTTCTCCAGGCTAGAGTGCAGTGGCACAATTTCAGCTCACCATAACCTAAGTTTCCCCAGTCCCCAGCTCAATGCATCCTCACCTCAGCTTTCCTAGTAGCTGGAACTACAGGTGCACACCACCACACCTAGTTATTTATTTTTATTTACTTTTTGAGACAAAATCTTGCTCAGTAGCCCAGGCTGGAGTGCAGTAGCATGATGTCAGCTCACTGCAACCTCTGCATCCTGGGTTCAAGTGATTCTCCTGCCTCAGCCTCCTGAGTAGCTGGGACTACAGGTGCATATCAACACACCCAGCTAATTTTTGTATTTTTTATAGAGAGAGGGTTTCACCATGTTTCCCAGGCTGAACTCAAACTCCTGCGTTTAAGAGATCCTCCCAACTCAACCTCCCGAAGTGCTGGGATCACAGGCATGAGCCACTGCATCCAGCATGCACATCTCTTTCACTGGCTGTTTCTGAGACATTACAGTGAACCAGGAACAGAAAATGAACTGACAGATGTGGTGGCTCACATCTGTAATCCCAGCACTTTAAGTGACTGAGGTGGGAGGATCACTAGGGCCCAGTAATTTGTGGCCAGCCTGGGCAACAAAACAAGATCCCATCGCTACAAAAAAATAAATTAGACAGATGTGGTGGTGCAGGCATGTAGTCTCAGCTACTAGGGAGGGGGGAGGACCACTTGGGCCCAGGCAGTTTAGGCTGCAGTGAGCTATGACTGCAACACTGCACACCAGCCTGGGCAACAAAATGAGACCCTGTCTCTCAGAAAAAAGGAAAATAAACTGTTTTTCTGAGTTCTGTAAGCTGTTCCAGCAAATGATTAAATCAAAGAAGGGGGTCATGAGAACCTCCCTATTTGTAATAGGTTGGTCAAAGGTACAGGAGAAAACCTAATACTTGCCATTGGCATCTAAAGTGGGGGTAGTCTCATGGGACTAAACGCCTAACCTGCAGGGTCTGCGTCAGCTCCAGGTAGTGTCAGAATAACATTGTGGGATACCCAGTTACTATCCAGAACACTGGAGAATTTGGTGTATGAGCTCCATACACACAGTCAGTCAAAGTGTGTGACTAGAGAGAAACACGGGCTTTTCTTTCACCTACCTGCCTAACTGCATAGGAGAAGCAATACATGATGCTCATGAAAAGAGCAAGCATTAAAGTCAAAGCAGTCCCTACAGCTGACTCAGCTTAATACCCATGTGAGCTTGGGGAAATCACCTATTATCCCTGTCTTTATCACCTCATTCATAAAATGGGGATAACTGGTACCTGCCTGTGACTTTGTGAGAATTCATGAAATATTATGCTTGATGTTACTGTGATCATCATACCTATTCCAAACTATCTGACAGGGACAGTGATGGATAATAACATCACCAGATTAGAAACTGTAGTGAGGTCTCTCAGGCAAAATTCCATACAAGCAAACTACTGTCTCTCCAGAGCATTCCTGCCACACCTAATTCCCCATTCCCTGAACCAAATGTGCCATCTTAATTGTCCAGGTCTTTACAGTGCTGGTTTCCCTGCCCATTCCCCATCCCTCCACATCCCCCTTAGCTCCCTAGTCTCACACAACTCTTCCTCATCTTTCAAAAGTCAGTTTCACTGTCACCTTATCTAGAAGCTTCTCCCACTCTCCAGAAGAGCTTCCCATTGCACATGATGCATGCACTATTATTTGATCATTTTTGAGTTATTGTCCAAGTCTTTTTGTACCTGAATAACATGATGCCCAGTATCCTCCTGAACTCTGATGTCTTTCATGGTAGATCCAGCTGGAAGTGACAAAAAGACATTCTTTAAAAATAAAAGAAGGAATGAGGCAGACATTTATCCAATCCCATAAAAGTTTTAAAAGATAAGTGAAAAGCTAACAAAATTCAAGAGCTTCTAGGAAAAACATAAGAGGGAAGGTGTTACTGGGAGATATGCTAAAGGGTTAATTTTTATAGTATTTTACTTTTTTGAGAAAGAATCTTGCTCTATCCCCTAGGCTGGACCGCAGTGGTACAATCACAGCTCATTGCAGACTCAACCTGCAGGACTTCAGCTATCTTTCAACCTAATTTTCATTTTATTGAAAAATGCATTCTTACTGTTACCAAAGCTGGAGTGCAGTGGTGTGATCACAGCTTACTGCAGCCTCGACCTCCTAGGCTCAAGTAATCCTCCAGTCTCAGACTCCCCAGTAGCTGGGATTACAGGTGTGGACCGCAATGTCCAGCTCACGTTATCTTTAACTTTTATTAGAGACGAGGCTGGTGGTGATCCTTTTCCCTCAAGCAGTTCTCCCACCTCAGCCTTCCAAAGTGCTGGGATTACAGGTGTGAGCTGCCACAACCAGCTGAGGAGGTTAATTTTTAATGATATAAAGAGCTCAAAGCAAATGGCTAAAAGGAGCCTAAATGGCTATAGAGGCTGACTGGTCAATTGTGATATATCCACATAATAAAACATTAGGCAACCATGAAAAGGATTCAGATAGATCAATAGAAATTGACACAGATGTCCACGAAATATAAAAATGAGAAGTGATATTCAATTAGCCCATATGTATTTGAAGAATATGGCCAATTATATCCTGAGATAAGATTATGGGTCTAAAGCGTAAAGGAAATTTTCACTTCTTCATTTAAAAGTCTTTACTATTTTTATAATTTAATAAAAGATTAAATATATAGATCATCTAATTAGTAAAAAACAAGTTAACTCTATAAATTAACAGAAAAGACATGGATAGCCCAGCCTTGGTGGCTGACGCTTATAATAGCAGCACTTTGGGAGGGGCAGTGGGAGAATTGCTTGAGGCCAGGAATTCCAGACAAGACTGGGAAACATGGCAAGACCTCATCTCTATTAAAAATCAATTAAATTAGCCAGACATGGTGGTATGTGCCTATAGTCCCAGTTACTGAGCTGGAAGGATCACCTGAGCCCAGGAGGTCAATGCTGCAGTGACTCGAGACTGTACCACCATACTCAAGCCTAAGCTACAGAGTGAGACTTGGTCTCCCAACAAAGGAGAGGGAGCAAAAAAGAAAGCAAGCTGGGCACGGTAGCTCACACCTGTAATCCCAGCATTTTGGGAGGCTGAGTCAGTTGGATCACTTGAGGTACGGAGTTCAAGACCAGCCTGACAAACACGGAGAAACCCTGTCTCTACTGAAAATACTTAGCCAGGTATGGTGGCACATGCCTGTAATTCCAGCTATTCTGCAGACTGAGACGAGAGGATGGCTTGAATCCAAGAGAAGGAGGATGCAGTCAGCAGAGATTGTGCCGTTGCACTCCAGCCTAGGCAACAAGAGTGAAACTTTATCTGAAAAAGAAAGAAAGAAAAAGAAAGCTAATAAACTAAGATAAGAAAATATATATTAAAATGTAACAAAATTTTTGAGGTCTTTTATTAAAAATAATCAAACAAAACATAACTTGTTATTGTACCCTGTGCCAGCAAAGGTGCAGTGAAATGGGCATTTTCTTTTACCATTAGTGATGTTTAAATTGTATACAAGCCTTCCACCAGGGTAAAGCTTGGAAACTTTTAAAAAAGAATACAGTGACTCACTCTACTGCCTCCTCCAACTCCTGGCCTCAAGCAATCCTCCCACCTCAGCCTCCCAAAGTGTTGGAATTATAGGCCGACAGCCACCATGCCTGAAAGCTCGGCAGTTTACATCAAGTGTAACAAGAATGCTAATGTCCTGTGACTCACAGTAATCTCATTTCTGGAAATATCATCTTCGGATACAATTCAACCTAAACAAAAGGTCATACGCACAAACACAGTGAAAATCTAGGAGTAATATTTTTCTGTTTAAAAACATAGGGAACACTTCACAAATTTGCACGTCATTCTTGCACAGAGGCCACGCCAATCTCTCTATTGTTCCAACTTTAGTATATGTGCTACTGAAGCAAGCATGAGTAATTTAAGATAGAGTGGTTAAGCAAAATAAGGAAGAGTTATGGGGAATTTAGAAATCTATGGTATTTATAGGCACCTAGTAACAGCTCAGTAAATATTAGCTGCTACTTTTATTATCTTTATGGTAATTCCACTCAATTAAAAATTGTCATTAAAAATTTACCACTGTCATGGAACATCATGTATTTAACAGTATAATTGTAAAAACAGATAGAGGCTGGGTGCGGTGGCTCACACTTGTAATCCCAGCACTTTGGGAGGCCAGGGCAGGTGGATCACCTGAGGTCAGGGGTTCAAGACTACCCTGACCAACATGGAGAAACCCCATCTCTACTTAAGAATACAAAATTAGTCAGGTGCGGTGGTGCCTGTAATCCTACCTACTCAGGAAGCTGAGGCAGGTGAATCACTTGAACCTAGGAGGTGGAGGCTGTGGTGAGCTGAGAGTGCACCATTGCTCTCCAGCCTGGGAGAAAAAGAGGAAAACTCCATCTCGAAAAAAAAAAAAAAAAAGCCCCAGCACAGAGACTCACAGCTGTAATCCCAGCACTTTGGGAGGTTGAGGCCAGGCAGATCACCTGCAGTCAGGAGTTCAAGACCATTCTGGCCAACATGGTGAAACCCTGTCTCTACAGAAATACAAAAATTAGCTGGGCATGATGGCAGGTACTTGTAATCTTAGCCCACTCTTAACCCTGGGAGGTGGAGGTTGCAGTGAGCTGAGATTGTGCCATTGCACTCCAGCCTAGGAAACAGAGCAAGACTGTCTCAAAAACAAAACAAAACATACAATTTGTCCCTTGGTATATGGGGGGATTGGGTCCAGCTCCCCAATATCTGTGTATACCAAAATCCATGCAAGCATCTGTAGTCCCAGCTACTTGTGAAGCTGAGGAAGGACTGCTTTAGCCCAGGAGGTTGAGGCTGCACTGAGCCATAATTGCACCACTGCACTCCAGTCTGGGCAACAGAGTGAGAAAGAAGGTTGACTTTTAAATATAATTTTTCAGTTCACTTGAGAATTTGGTCAGAACTGTGGCATATGAAAATTCTTCATAGAATAGTTATCTAATCAAATTCATGCTAGAATTGGGAACAGAAAATATTTTGTTGACTCTTCATTCCTTCACTTGCTGTTACATAAACTATGGCCAGTGGGCACTTACCAACCAGAAGTGTTATCTCAGAGCTACTCACAATAAAAGGTGATGTCTAGGGCCCAGGTGTGTTGAGGTCTCCATGCCTTGGCTATGGGTGAGTAGGACTTATAGGTACATCCATTTTCTATATTCCAGCTCTGGAAAACTTGGGTTTATCCATCTTCATAAGATGTAATTTAAATTTAACTTGGCAAGAACCATAAATGGAAGAAAGTTTATGAAACCACAGGATAGTACTTGTTCTCAAGGGACTCTTCAGCTTAGGTGCTTCTGTACAAAAGGAATGACATTGTCGAAAACTCATCGCAGGTCAGGTGAGGTGCCTCATATCCTTAATCCCAGCCCACTGGGAGACTAAGACAGGAGGATCCCATGAGGCCAAGAGTTTAAGACCAGCCTTGGAAACACAGTGAAACCTCATCTCTACAAAAAAAAAAAAAAAAATTAGAAAAGGAACTGGGTATGGCAGCACATTCCTATAGTCCTAGCTACCCTGGAGGCTTAAGTGGGAGAATAGTTGAACCCAGGAAGTGGAAGCTGCTGTGAGCAATGATCTCACCACTACACTCCAGCCTGGGTGACAGAGTGAGACCATGTGTACACACACACACACCCCTCAGTCTGTCCAGCCTTGACTAATAAAAAGGGTCTTCCGGTTACACAACAGGTGTGCTCTTTTGTAGGACAGGAAGGGACGAGCAAGCGTGTTCACAGCCTTTCCGCATCCTCTGTTTAGGTTTCCAAGAACCTGCAAGGGAGTCCCAAGGGAAAGGACAAATCTTCTAGTTACCAGAGGAGAAATATGCCTCCTTTGTCAATAAATGGAACACCCGCCATGAAATCCAGGAAGTTCTGCTAAGATGAACCACTCCCTATGACACTGACCTATGCAGGAAACATGAGAAACTAGAGTTTGTGGACCAATAATATTGAAGGTCACATTCCAGATTGTGGAGATCTAACCAAAGTACAGCCTTTCCACAAGGCACTGCCAAATAACAGCTGGCTGTCTCCATTGGGGCACTGCCGTTATCTCTCGCTCTCATTTCACCGGGAGATGCTCTATTCCAGCTTCCTTTTGCATTTTGTATTCTGTAGTTCCTGGGGTAAGACCTCACAACATAGCAGACTGCTGAGTCAATGCTGATCTACAGATATGACTTCAGATTCTAGCAGGACTCTTTCAGTTTGAGAAATTAAAGAGGAGAAAAAGTGGACCCAGCCTGGCACTGGCCAGCTTAGCAGTCCGAAGATAAAAGCTGCTCAAAATGACTACAGTGCTTCTGACTTTCTTAGTCTGCCCTTCCTCCTAGGGCTCTTTGGATGAGATTTATTTCTCCTTGTTGAAGAAATTGTTTGCTAGAATATAAAAAATTTAAGGAAGAATGAAATACTAAAATATAATTTTCTCCTAAAGAGCACTCAAAAGTATAATCCCACCAGTGCTGGATCTATTTATCTCTCTCTCTCTCTCTCTTTTTTTTTTTCTGAGATAGGCTCTCACTCTGTTACCAAGACTGGAGCACAGTGGTGAGATCACAGCTCACTGCAGCTTTCAACTCCTGGGCTCAAGTGATCCTCCCACTTCAGCCTCCCAAGCAGCTGGGATTACAGGTGCATGCCACCATGCCTAATTTTTAAAATTTTTTGTAGAGAAGGCCACTATGTGGCCTAGGCTGGTCTTGAACTCCTAGATCAAACTAATCCTCCTGCCTTGGCCCCCAAAGTGCTGGAATTATAGGCTTTAGCCACCACACCCCATCTATTTATGTTTGTATGCACACACACACACACACACACACACCACACAAACACACATATATACACATATGTACACATATAAAATCTCATATATTAAATGTTCCTCCTTAAATCGCCTCCTACCCACCCATCTGCAGGGAGAGCAAACACAGGTCTCAGCAGATCAGGGAAGCTACATGAAGAAAGGAGGCTGGAGCAATGCCAGAGACCAGGAGGAACTGTAGCAAATGGCAAGGTATTCACTTCAAAGGTTTTTCAACATTGTGATGGTCAAACCAAACACAGAAACAGGAAGCCCAGTTCAGTCACCAGCAGCCAATGTGGGATATTTGATCTACATGCTAAAGGGCAAACTGTTTAGGAAGAAAGACCTTGTCTCCTCCACACTGTTCTTCAAGTCCCTCCTGCCCAGTAGTCCCTACACTCTGCTGACATGACCCACATTCACAGGACTCTCCTGACCCCTTTGCTTGTTTAGTCTTTTTTCCCCAATAACTATTTTCTTTTTTGGATACAGAATTCACCTCTGTCACACAGGCTTGAAGGAAAGTGAGGTGATTATGACTCACTGCAGATTCCATCTCCCGGGCTCAAGTGATCTTGCCTCCCAAGTAGTTGGGATTACAAGCATGTACCACCATACGTAGCTAAGTTTGTTATGATGATGATGATTATTTTGAGATGGAGTCTCACTCTATCATCCAGGCTGGAGTGCAGTGGCACGATGTAGGCTTACTGCAACCTCCACCTCCTGGGTTCAAGTAATTCTCCTGCCTCAGCTTCCTGAGTAGCTGGGATTACAGGCATGCACCAGCAAGCCCAGCTAATTTTTGTGTTTTAGTAGAGATGGGGCTTCACCATGTTGGCCAGGATGGTCCCAATCCCTTGACCTTGTGATCCACCCACCTCAGCTTCCCAAAGTGCTGGGATTAAAGGCATGAGCTGCTGTGCCTGGCCAACCTTTTTTATTTATAAGCCTCACATGTATGCTTATAACAATGCAAAACAAACTAATATAGCAATCGTATGCCAACACTTCCCAGACTGTGAGGAGCACAATGACAGAAGCACAGAGTGGGAATGAAATGCTCCCAACGGGCTTCTTCTCGCATCATAGAGAATGGGGCAAGACACCTCGGCTGAGGCTAAAGATAAGCGAAGATGAGAGTCAAAGAGTGATGATGAGGGTAGGGGGAGGTTTCCTGAAGGACACCAGTAAAGTCCCCTAAGGAAACTGACATTCCACGTGGCTGGAGGGGAGGGATATGGGGAGGGTTGTGCAGGATAAAACTGGAAAGGTAAGCCAAGGCCAGTGCTTACCAGGCCCTGTGGCCAAATTAGTTTTGATTTTATCTTAATTGCAATGGGCAGTCACCAGCAGGTTTTAATCAAGAACCATTTTGACTCAAATTTGCCTTTTAGAAAAATTCCTCTGGCTTCAGTGAACAGGCTGAAGTGAGCAAACCTCGAAGTCAGGAAGACAATTGGAGGCCTTCCCGATAAACCAGTATCGAAGAAAACAGGGCCAGGCATGGAAGCTGCTGCCTATAATCTCAAAACCTTAGAAGTCTAAGGAGGGTGGACGTCTTGAGCCCAGGAGTTTAAGACCAGCCTGAGCAATGTGGTGAAACCACATCTCTACAAAACACAAAATATTAGTTGGGTGTGGTGGCTCATACCTGTGGTCATACCTCAGCTACCCCAGAGGCTGAGGCTGCAGTGAGCCAAGATCACACCACCGTGCTCCAGCCTGGGCAACAGAGGGAGACTGTCTCAAAAAGAAAAAGAATCCCATTCTTCACCTATTAGTTCCCCAAAGTTCTCATGAAAACCTTGGTGATGCAGTGAATTCAACTGTCATTGTAATTCAGCAATTCACACATTTAAGTTTGTGTTTGATTTTTAATAATATCAACCCTGTGGAAACAAGAAATACGGAATTGTGTTTGGGCTATCATGGAAGCTCCCTGGATCTTAGAACATGACTTGTGCTAAGACGTGAGCTTTGCGTTTTTCTCTGTGTGAGTGCTCAAGTGCAGCAGTCCCCAGGTTTTATGGCACCAGAAACCAATATTATGGAAGACAGTTTTTCCACAGACTGGCGGCAGGGGGTCCGTTTTGGAATATTTCAAGCACATTACATGTATTGTGCACTTTGTAATTATCACACTGTAGTATATAATAATTATATAACTCACCATAATGTACAATCAGTGGGAGTCCTGAGCTTGTTTGTTTTCCTGAAACTAGATGGTCCCATCTGGGGGTGATGAAAGATACTGACAGATTATCAGGGATTAGATTCTCATAAAGACAGAGCAAGGTAGAACCCTTGCATGCACAGTTACACAATAGGGTTCCTGCTCCTATGAGAATCTAATGCTGACACTGACCTGACAGGAGGTGGAGATCAGGCGGCAAAGAGGGGAGTGGCCATGAATACAGATGAAGCTTTGCTCGCCCACCTGCTGCTCACCTCCTGCTGTGTGGCCAAGTACAGGCCTGTGATTCAGGGATTAGGTGCCCCTGCTCCATTGCATCCAAAAGGACCCTCCCCACACCAGTCTTCATCGTGGTCAAGTACAGAAGCCACTTAGCTCCTAAGGCATGTGTCTCAGCTGGCATTTCATCGCAATCAACACTAAGTGGCAGCTTGAAACATTATGAGGTCACTTCCTAAAAATCACCAGCACCCCATTTCCCATTGACAAGAAGCTCAACGCTGCCCCTTGGATAACCAAACCTATGCCCAAATCCCATTTGTGTGGGTCTTTCTCCCAGAACCCTTCCTAGCATCAGTTCTGTATTTGTCAGAGTCCAATCAAAAGACACAAATCACCCAAAGTTTAAAGTGGAAAAATTTAAAATAAAAAAAGCAATTATATAACAAGGGAACACCATATGAGAGATTGGCTACAAAAGTAAAGAGAACTCTAGAGAACATAGGGCTAGCAGAGGCCAGACATGGTGGCTCATGCTTACAATTGCAGCAATTTGGGAAGCCAAGGCAGGAGGACTGCTTGAGGCCAGCAGTTTGAGACCAGCCTTGGAAACACAGTGAGATCCTGGTTCTACAAAAAAAAAAAAAAAAAAGCAAGGTGTGGTGGCACACACTTGTAGTCCTGGTTACTTGGGAGGCTGAGGTGAAAAAATTGCTTCAGCCCAGGAGGTTAAGGCTGCGGTGAGCCATGATTTCACCACTGCACTTTAGACCGGGCAAAAGAGAGAGATCCTGCCTCAAAAAAACAAAGTATAGAACCAGCTGTTACAATGAGCAGTAACTTCCTACTGTCCCTACGCTGAGATAGAGTGACCAAGGAGGGGATTCCCCACTAAGGCTGAGATCCAGGCCCCCTTGGAGAGGGCACAGTCATGGGTGATTCAATAGCAGAATTGCTGCATTACCACATGGTAGAACATGCAAGCAATATGCCCTCTGCAATTTGCTGAAAATCCACCATCTAGGGTGCTAGCTTAACCTATTAGTAAACAGTTGTCTCACCACAAAACCACCCAGGCAAATGCAGAGAAACTGCTGGTCACTGCCTGCTGCTAAGCACCATGCAGGGCAGCAGCCTGGTGCTGCAAAAGCTCAGCATCTGTGAAGATGTGCACATAACTAGAAAGAAAAGCCTCTTAGAACGCCCCTTATAACAGCACCATGTACTGACAACATTTAATAATGCACCAGTTGACAGAGGAAACATTTAAGGAACCCACCTCTATGTTTGCAGAGCAGGCAATGAAGGGTGAATTTGGAACTGAGGAGCAGTCATTGGATGAATAGCTGGTACCTGACACATTTCCATCTACCAAAGAAGGAAAGGAAGAGAGAAAAATGAGAAGAAAAACAGGCATGGTGGTTTACACCTGTAATTGCAGCAGTTTGAAAGGCCAGGGCAGGTGAATCACTTACATCCAGGAGTTTGAAACCAGCCTGGGTGACATAGAGAAACCTTGTCTCCACTAAAAATTAAAAAAACAATTAGCTGAATATGGTGGCATGTGCTGTAGTCCCAACTTCTCAAGAGACTCCTGGGTTCAAGCAATTCACCTGCCTCAGCCTCCCAAGTGGTGGGGATTAGAAGTACGCACCACCATGCTCAGCCAACTTTTGTATTTTTAGTAAAGACAGGATTTCACCATGTTGGCCACATCAGTCTCAAACTCCTGACCTCGTGATCTACCCACTGCAGCCTCCCAAAATCTTCTGCTCTGTCTTTGCCCACTTAATCTAAGAAAACTAAGCTAAAATAAATTTTGTAACCAAACCAAAATGAAGCTAAGTGGTTGGCTACTATACTCAAAAGGCTTGAAATTCCCTTCACCCAAAAATAACTATCTGGAAGCCAAGAATGGTTATCTGGAAGTCAGCATCCTCAGAGCACATTTCAGAGGCAAACTAGAATATGTCAGTGTAAACTATGAAAGTCCAGAGCCTTTGTTTGAGTAAGACTAGGTGCAGCAAAACCATGGGCTCCATGCTGATTGGTATTGTAAAAGAGGCCACAGGGAATGGAATTAAATATGACACCCTCGGCCGGGCACAGTGGCTCACATCTGTCATACCAACACTTTGTGAGGCCGAGGTGGGCAGATCGTTTGAGGTCTGAAGTTTGAGAGCAGCCTGGCCAATATGGTAAAACCTCATCTCTACTAAAAATATAAAAATTAGCCAGGCATGGTGGCAGGTGCCTGTGATCCCAGCTACTTGGGAGGCTGAGGCAGGAGAATCACTTGAATCCAGGAGGCAAAGGTTGCAGTGAGCTGAGATCACACCACTACACTCCAGCCTGGGCAACAGAACAAAATTCCATCTGCAAAGTTTCTTCTAAACTCAATTTAAGGCACCATGTACCACAAACCAGATAGCAAGAAATTAAATAAATTTTAGCCTTTTTCATGCCATCCAATTACATCTTGGTCAGTTCATGAACATGTTTCAGCCAATGCTAAAGGAGGTTTTCTCTTTAGGAGTCCTCTCTCACTTCACCCTGCTTAACACAAGACTTCACACACAAAGAGAATGGAGACAGCCCTGCTTCAGGACATGCTACAGAGACAGAACTGACTGTCCCAAAAACAGAGGGCTCCACACCCCTCTGACAACTCCACAATGGACCAGCTACACACAAATGCCTGAAGTAAGGAAGTCCATTAAGAAAATGAACAGTTGGTGAGATCAAGACTTCTGACCCAAAGGGCCTGCAGCTGGTCTGATGATTCATCAAAAAGTCTGAATTTAAATGGAGACATATTGGACTGTGACATGTAATAAAAGAACTGAAGCAGCAAAGTGTCTTGGTTTGGGTTTTCTTTCCACTGTATACAGCTCCAATGAATAGAGAAGTGAGCACGCCTGTGGTACTCCTGACACATCTGGGATAGTTCCCATCCACAGTGGTTGGCCTTTGGGATTATGCACACATTGCAGGGTCATTGCCCATCTGTGCTAACCTAGAATGTCACATAAAAGCCCTGCTTAGAGACTGCAGAGAAAAATGTCAAACCTGAAAGCCCATGAACTGTCTCAGCCAGGGGGAACACATGAAGGAAACACTACAGAATCTCACATCAGAAGCCTAATTTCAGTTGACCTCTAAGCTTTATGATTGTGAGTAATCAGCTTACTTTCTCTAGGCCTCTGTTATTGTCACATCAATAAACAGAAAAGCAGACTGAATAGTCTCCCAGATCAATTACAATATTAATATCCTCTGGCTTTATGATTAAAGAATGATACTAATTAATAAGGGTGAAACTGTGGCTAACCCCAATAGGAGCTGCTGGGATTATGCTAAGCCATCCCTCACTGTTCCTCAGCTGCTACAGTGCACCCAGACTAGCAGGGCCTGGAGTGGACCTCAGCAGTCGTACAGTAAAGGGGTAGACTGGTAGAAGAAAAACAAAGTAACAGAAATACTTCATCATCAACAATCTGGGCTTCCACTCAGAGACCCATTGAAAAGTCAGCAACTACTCAGTGACAGGTGGATAAATCCATAAAGATGGAAAGAAACCAGCGCAAAAGGAGAAACACCCGAAACCAGAACACCTCGCCTCCTACAAAGGACCAAAACTCCTCACCAGCAAGGGAACAAAGCTGGACGGAGAATGACTGTGATGAAATGACGGAATTAGACTTCAGAAGGGGATAAAAGAAACTTTTGTGAGCTAAAAGAACATGTTTTAAATCAATGCAAAGAAACTAAGAACCATGAAAAAATATTCGAGGAATTTATAACAAGAATGGATACTTAGAGAGGCATATGAATGAATTGAAGGAACTGAAAAACACAATACGAGAACTTCGCGAAGCATGCACAAGTTTCAACAGCTGAATTGACCAAGCAGAAGAAAGATATCAGAAATCAAAGATCAACTCAATGAAATAAAATGAGAAACCAAGATTAGAGAAAATAGTGCAAAAAGGAATGAACAAAGTCTCCAGAAATGTGGGACTATGTGAAGAGACCTAACCTACGTTGATAGCATACCAGAATGTGACGAAGAGAATGAATCCAAGCTGGAAAATACTCTTCAGGATATTATCCAGGAAAATTTCCCCCACCATTAAGACAGGCCAACACTCAAATGCAGGAAATACAGAGAACACGACAAAGATATTCCGCAAGAAGAGCAACCCCAAGGCACAGAATCGTCAGATTCACCAGGGTTGAAATGAAGGAGAAAATGCTAAGCACATCCAGAGAGAAAGGTCGGGTCACCACAAGGGAAGCCCATCAGACTCACAGCAGATCTCTTGGCAAAAACTCTACAAGCCAGAAAAAGTGGGGGCCAATATTCAACATCCTTAAAGAAAAGAACTTTCAACCCAGAATTTCAGATCCAGCCAAACTGAGCTTCATAAGTGAAGAAAAATAAAATCCTTTGCAAACAAACAAGTACTCAGAGAGTTTGTCACCACCAGGCCTGCTTTACAAGAGCTCCTGAAAGAGGCACTACACATAGAAAGGAACAACCAGTACCAGCCATTCCGAAATCACACTAATGCTAAAGAGCATCAACATAATGAAGAATCTACATCAACTAATGGGCAAAACAGCCACTTAGCCTCAAAATGGCAGTATCAAATGCACACATAACAATATTAACCCTAAATGTAAATGGACTAAATGCACCAATTAAAAGATACAGACTGGAAAATTGGATAAAAACCAAAACCCATCATGTGCTGTATCCAGGAAACCCATGTCACATGCAACGATACACAAAGGCTCAAATAAAGAGATGGAGGAAGATTTGCCAAGCAAAGGAGAGCAAAAAAAAGCAGGAGTTGCAATTCTCATCTCTGATAAAATAGAAGTTAAATAAGCAACAAGATCAAAAGAGACAAAGAAGGCCATTACATAATGGTAAAAGGATCAATACAACAAGAAGAGCTAACGATCCTAAACATATATGGACCCAACACAGGAGCACCCAGATACATAAGGCAAGTTCTTATTGACTTACCAAGAGACTTAGACTCCCACACAATAATAGTGGGAGACTTTAACACAACCCACTATCAATATTAGACAGATCAACCAGACAGAAAATCAACAACGATATCCAGGGCTTGAACTCAGACCTGGAACAAGCAAACCTGATAGACATCTACAGAACTCTCCACCCCAAATCCACATATTATACATTCTTCTCAGCACCACATCACACCTACTCTAAAATTGACCACATAATGGAAGTAAAGCCTCTCTCAGCAAATGCAAAACAACTGAAATCATAACAAACAGTCTCTCAGACCATAGTGCAATCAAGTTAGAACTCAGAATTCAGAAACCAACCCGAACCGCACAGCTTCATGGAAACTGAACAACTGGCTCTTGAATGTTGAACTGGACAAACAATGAAATGAAGGCAGAAATAAAGAAGTTCTTCAAACCAATGAAACGAAGACACACATGCCAGAATCTCTGGACACATTTAAAGCAGTCTCTAGAGGAAAATATATAGCAATAAGTGCTCATATGAGGAGAATTGAGAGATCCAAAATTGACACCCTATCATCAAATTGAAAGAGCTAGAGGAGCAAGATCAAAAAACTCAAAACCCAGCAGAAGACAATAATACCTAAGATCAGAGCTGAACTGAAGGAGATTGAGACACAAAAAACCCTCCAAAAATCAATAAATCCAAGAGCTGGTTTTTTGAAAAGATCAACAAAATAGACAAACACTAGCCAGTTTGATAAAAAAGAAAGAGAGAACAACCAATAGCTGCAATAAAAAATGATAAAGGAGAAATCACCACAGATTCCACAGAAATTCAAACCATCATCAGAGAATATACAAACAACTCTATGCACATAAACTAGTAACCTGAAAGAAATGGATAAATTCCTGGACTCCTGTGTCCTCCCAAGCCTAAACCAGGAGGAAGCTGAAACTATAATAGACCAATAACAAGGTCGAAGTCGAGGCAACAATTAAGAGCCTACCACACAAAAAAAGCCCAGGTCCAGATGGGTTCACAGCCAAATTCTACCAGAAACACAAAGAGGAGCTGGTACCATTCCTTCTGAAACAATCCAAATAATCCAAAAAGAGGTAATCCTTCCCAAATCATTTATGAGACCAACATCATCCTGATACCAAAACCCAGCAGAGACCCAACAGAAAAGAAAACTTCAGGCAATATCCATGATGAACATAGATGCAAAAATCTTCAATAAAATATTGGCAAGCCATTGCAACAGCAAATCAAAAAACTTATATGCATCATGATCAAGTAGCATTCATCCCGGGGATGCAACGCTGGTTCAACATACGCAATTCTATAACGAACTCACCACAAACAGAACCAAAACAAAACCACATAATTATCTCAATTGACATAGAGAAGGCTTCGACAAAATCACAAAGCGCTTTGTGCTAAAAACCCTCAATAAACTCGGTATCGATGGACGTATCTCAAAGTAATAAAAGCTATTTACGAAAAACCAACAGCCAATATCATATTGAATGGGCAAAAACTGGAAGCATTCCCTTTGAAATCCAGCACTAGACAAGGATGCCCTCTTTCGCCACTCCTATTCAATATAGTACTGTAAGTTCTAGCCAGAGCAATCAGCAAGAAAAGAAATAAAGGGCATTCAAATAGGAAAGTGGAAGCCAAATTGTCGCTATTTGCAGACGACATGATAGTATACCTAGAAGACCCCATTGCCTCAGCCCAAACTTCCTGAAACTGATAAGCAACTTCAGCAAAGTCTCAGGTATAAAATCAATGTGCAAAAATCACAAGCATTCCTCTACACCATAACAGACTTAAAGAGCGCCAAATCAAGAACGAACTGCCATTCACAATGCTACAAAAAGAATAAAATACCTAGGAATACAACTCACAAGGAACGTAAGGGACCTCTTCAGGAAAACTACAAACCACTGCTCAACGAAGTAAGAGAGGACATAAACAGATGGAGAAACATTCCATGTTCATGGTTAGAAGAATTAATATAGTGAAAATGGCTATACTGCCCAAAGTAATCTACAGAATCAACGCTAGCCTCCCCATCAGCTACCATTGACTTTCTTCACAGAACTGGAAAAAAAACCACCATGAACTTCATATGAACCAAAGAAGAGCCCGCATAGCCTAGTCAATTCTAAGCAAAAAGAACACAGCGGGGGCAACACTAC